CCAGCAGTCGGGGGGGGTCACAGCGCGGGGGGGTCCCGGTACTCACGCGCCGGGGTCGCCCTGCGCGCCCACGAGGAAGCCGAACTTGTCGGTGCGGCGCTCCGCGAAGCCGTTGGCCTCCGAGTCGGAGCCCAGAGAGCTGAGCTCGTCGGTGGCCGAGGCCGCGTCCGGGCCCGGGACCAGGCTCTCCCGGGTCCCCGACAGGCTCCCGCCTGGTCCCGGCGAGCGAGGCCCGTTCTCCCCGCGGCTCTTCGCCATCGCCCGCCTGGCCCGGCCCGGCCCCGCCCGCCGCCTCCGCTGTCTCCTCGGCCGCCGCCGCCGGGGCCGCCGCCGCCGCCACCGCAGCCGTAGCCGAGGCCCCGCCCCCGGAGCGCGTCCATTGGCCCGCCGCGCCTCCGGGCGGACCCAGAGCCGCGCCCCCGCGGGCGACCCCGGTCTGAACCAATCAGAGCCGGGGATGCCGAAAAAGCCCCGCCCCTCGCCGCTCTCCCCTCCTCTTCTCCCTCCCTCCCCCGCACTGGCGGCCAGGCGGGCGCCAAGTCCTAGCCCTCCCGGACACGGGATTCCAGGGTCCGCCCACTGAGTTGTCAATCACGGAGACTCACCTGGACGGAGCCGAGGCCCTTCCCGCCTCCTCGCCCCAACTTCCGGGCTCTGCCCGGCCCGCCCCCTCCCCGCCCAGAGAGCGCAGAGCCAGAAGCTGCGGGGGCTCTGTGTTACCTCTAAGGTCGAACGCCGTCTCTTGTGTGGGATGAGGCGGTTAGAGCCCTTCCCAGCTGGGCTCCAACCCAGCTGCCCAGCCGTGTTCTCCATTAAGTACTCTCCTTCCCTTGCTTGGACGGGGACGTTCATCTCCCACCTCCACACCTTTGCCCAGGCTGTACCCAGTGTTCGCAGTGCCCTTCATTTAGAGTCCTTTGCTTCTTTCCAACCGCAGCTAGGTCGCTTCCCGCATTAGGCCTTTTCCTCTTTCCGCCTGCTGCTGGGGCCTCCTCCCGTCCGCAGTTCCCTGGCACTTACTTTGTGGTTACGTGTGACGGGCATCTCCCCCTTAAAATTGAGGGGGCTGTTCACGTGCCCGCAACCCCAGTGCCCGGCTCCTGTTTCGGTGGCCGGGGAGGGAACGCAATCCCTCCAGCAATGTCTGTTAGACCTTAGAGCCACCAGGGATCCCTGCCTCTTCCTGGTGGCACAGAAGGGAGACTTCCCTTCTCAGTCTATCTGGACACAGATGTGTGTGTGTGTGTGTGTGTGTGTGTGTCCCAGGTGTCTTCAGAGGCCTTCTCTGGCTCTTAGCCCAGGATCCCAGGGTCTTATGATGGGGGGTTGGGGGGGGAGAGGAGAGGATCTGTTTTAGCCCCAAGTAGGGCATCTTCCTCATGCCTCTGGAAGGAATTCTGCTGGAGCTGGGAGCCAGGGAACCTGCTGCCTGTGTGCCTTCAGGCACCTCGCCTCTCTGGGCCTCAGTTTCCCCATCTGTACAAAGGGGATCCAACTTGCACTGCCTACCTCCCTGCTGACTATTGTGGGGAAAGCATAGAATCAGTGTCTCCACCTAGATACTCCCTCCTCCCTTGGCTTTCCTGACCCAGCTGGCTGGCTCTCTCTCTCTCTCTCTCTCTCTCTCTCTCTCTCTCTCTGTCCCTCTGTTTCTCTATCTCTCTCTCCTTCTGTCTGTCTCTCCTTCTCCCTATATCTGTCTCTCTCCCTCCCTCTGTCCATCTGTCTGTCTCTCTCTGTCTCTGTTTCTCTCCCTATGTCTCTCTCTCCCTCCCTCTCTCTCTGTCTCTCTGTCTGTCTCTCCCTCTCTCTATGTCTGTCTCTCTGTCTCTGTCTCTGCCTCTCCCTCCCTCCCTCTCTCACTTCCACCTAACTGTCTCTGACTGGATCTCCAGAGACCCACAAGTCTAGCCCTTACCTCTCTCTCCTAGAGAGCTGGCACGAGATATCTCCTGGACACCTCAAACCGCCCACACAGAACTCATTCTCTTTCTCCCCCGAGTCGCTCAGGCTTGACCCCTCTGTGAGACCCCCAGCTGTTCCCCACAAAGCCAATCTCCAGCCACACCTTGGCCTTTGTTCGAGATACCCCTCGTAGGGAGAGAACATGTTTCCTTCTCTCCACTCACCCAGCAACCAGCCTAGTCTTTGGCCTCATTAGTCCCTCCCAGACTATTAAAAGAGCCTGCTAATTAATCTTCTTGCCTCGCCTGTCTCCCTGCTCCGATACATCCCCTACTCAGCCTCCAGAGTGATTTTCCTGAAGCATATGTCTGGGTGGTACTCCCCTGCTCTATAATCTCCAGTGGCTCCCTATTCCCAGAAGAATCAAATACTGCTATTTGTTATTGAGAGCCCTTCACAACCTGGCCCCTTCCTCCCTATTCATCCTTCTCACACCTTACTCCCTTCAGTGTTCTCTACTATTCAGTCTGCTGGGCTCCTGGTTATTCCCCACCCACACTACCTTTCCCACCTCTGCGCCTTTGCCCTGTTTCTGGGGCTTGCCATGCTCTCCCTCCTCTCCTAGACCCCTTAGAAATTCTTGATTTCCTTGAAGACTCAGCTCAAATTCCGCCTTTGGCAGGCCTTTCCTGTCCTGTCCCTCTGCCCTGCCCTACCCCAGATCTCGTACATCCCTGGTTATTTGCACATGGCCTTCCCCTGTATTTCACACCAGGGACCTTTTCTGCCTTTCTGTGTATCCCCAGGCTTAGCACAGGGCCTGGCACACAGTAGGCACTTAATAAATGCTTGTTGACTGACAACTTCACACCTACGACCTAATCACTTGCTTCACCTATCTCCCATAATTATTTTTATTTTCAGTTCAAAATTCTCTTCCTTTTCCACTCATTGAAAAGGCAAGAAATACATGATACAGATGAAATCTGGCTGTAGTCCAAGGGTAGCCTTCCTTTACCTTCTTTAGTGGGAAGGGACTTTCGAAATGCCATCTCCTTTGCAGATGAAGACCAGGAGACCCAGAAAAGAGAAAGGCCTTGCCTTGTACTCCTAAGACCCCCCTTTATCAGTGAGGAAAGGGACACCAAAATCCCAAGCTCCTGACTTCATGACAGGCCTTCCAGTGGGCTCTGCGACTGGCAGGCTGGAGCCCCCCATGGTCAGGGGACCCAGGCCTGGGGGCCGATGGGAAAATCCCTGGTCTGGAAGTCAAGACTCTCCCTTCTGGCTTGAGTGACCCACGGGCAGCTCTCCCTTTCTGGGCCTCACTGGGGAAATGAGGGGGTTCAGTGAGGAGATGTCTAAGGTCCTCCCAAAAGTCTCGGCGTCCCTGAGCTTGTTCAGGGGGCCAGGAGCCCAAAGCTCTTGGGTTACCCCAGCTTCTCAGCTGTTTCCCAGATCGCAGCTCCAGCATTCTTGAAGGTTTCAGCGTGGCCTGAAAAAACTCCCTGGCTCCAGCAAGGCTCTGGCCTGCCATCTCAGAATTCAAACGTGGGTGGAGGGCAAGGGGCCTGGGCTCTGGGCTGTGGGCTCAGAAAGCTGAGCTCTGCCATGAGCTGGCAGGATGACCTTGAGCAAGTTGCTGGAAACCGCTGGGTGGAGAAAGGGGCCCTTGCTGGGCCCAGAGGTCTATTTTCCAGTACCAGCCAGCACTTAGTGAATGAGTAAGTGAATGAATAAATAGGTTCATTCATTTGAACTTGCTTCCCCATCTGGAAAATGGGAATAATAAGATCTACCCTGACTCCTTATTCCCAACTGGAAAATAGGCATAGTAAGGGCTGTCCTGACTAAAGGGCTTGTGGTAAATGAAGTAAATAGGACAAGTGCTTTGTAAACTACTTAGCACAAGACAAGTATAAACTACCAGGATTCTGGGGGGAGGAGAAGGTGTGACTCCAGGAAAATAGTGCTCATAGTCATCAGAGGCCTGAGGCCACCCACCCCCCTGCAGCAGCCAGTTGGGGCAGCATGACGTTACCCATCTGGCACAAACTGGGCAGGCAGGGGTGCCCCCTAATGGCCCTGCAGGGCTTCTTTAGATAAGAGATACAGAATGCCCACAGGTTCTACAAAGACACTATTCCCCCCCACCCCCAAATCACTCAACAGCCCTTAGGACAGGGGATGTCAGGGCTGGGAGGGGCCTGAGAATAGGGGCTGGAGTAGACCTTTAGACTCTAGGATGTCAGAATCAAGAGGAACCTTAGATTAGAGAATGCTGGATGATGGAGCAGGAGATACTTTAGAACAGAGGTTGTTGGAGTACAAAGGAACTTTGGAAACCTGCCCTGACCCAAAAGCTAACCCTCTTGTTTTTCAGATGGGGAAACTGAGGCCCAGAGAGGGGAAGAGTCATGCTGTGGGAGCCCCTTTCTTGGGTCTGGGGACACTCCATCCCTGGGCTGGGGGCCAGCAGTCAGGCCCCTGGTTCCTCTGGGAGCTCTTTTTTCCTTCTCAACGAGGCATTCAGTTCCCCAGCCTTATCACATCCATTTTGGATTCACCCCAAACTGGCCCAGGGCCCCACCCCAGCTCTCCCCAAGCCTGGGACTGACAATTCTGCAGACTGCCCCAGTGAGGCATGTAGGACAATCTGGCCAGCTGCTGACAGCAGCTGTCACCCCAGTCAGTCCGAGGGATAGCTCTGTGCGCATGTATGGAGAGTGGGGCTGGAGCCTGGCCTGGGGCCTGGGATGGAGGGATGGAGAGACGTTCCGTTAGCCTGATTCCAGCCTCAAGCTGCAGATGGGGTGGTACACATGTGGGATGTGTACTCGCACTTGCACGTGGTCAGGGACGGAGGCCAACTAGCAGACAGGCAAGCAGGCAGGCCGACAAGACATTCAAACAATTCAGATGTTACGGGCTCAGGAATCAGAGGAAGGATCTGAGTTCAAATCTGGCCTGAGACACTTACTAGCTGTGTGACCTTAGGTAGGTTACTTAACCCAGTTTGCCTCAGTTTCCTCATCTGTCAAATGAGCTGGAGAAGGAAATAGCCAATCATTCCAGTATCTCTGCCAAGAAAACCCCAGATGGGATCATGGAGAGTATGCCTGAAACTAAAGGAATAACAACAAAAAAGGAGGAAATTAGACTCAGTTGGATTCAGGCCCCTCTCAACCCTGACATTCCCTGTTCTAAGGCCCCTCCCAGTTCTGACATTCTCTGTTCTAAAGCTCCTCCCAGCCCTGACATCCCCTGTTCCAAGGCCCCTCCCAGCCCTTACATCCCCTGTTCCAAGGCCCCTCCCAGTTCTGACATTCCCTGTTCTAAAGCTCCTCCCAGCCCT